TGACAATGTACTCAGCCAAAAATGTCATTTTTCAGCCCCTCTCATACCTGTCACGGCCATTTGACATAATTCTAGCCAGTGTAATACAATCAAATCAATGGATGGAACTTCTGGGACAGCTCTCGAAAAGGCACAGAGAATCAGCTAAGGATCATTTGCCTTTACCCTTCATCCTGCCCAGAAACATAATGCTGGAGGTGATGTGTGTTATGATCGTGAGACCCCAAGAACACAATAAAAACTACTGAATCCAAATGTAGAAGGGTCCAAAGGGCTCCAAGAAGTCCCAGTATGAACACTAACTTACTCCCAGATATAACTCACATGAGGCAGGGTGAATGTCCAGAAAAATGGAAGCCCTATTTGAAAATAGTCTCAGGCTAAAAACTCCCCATAGATAACCTTCAAAGTAATATAATGTCCAAGTAGAAAAAGGGAGACTTGATTCCCATCTAGATGCAACTGGAAACCTCTTATTCCTGTCAGGAGAGACGCCTGCTTCAGTCCTTAACAAAGTGAGAGAAAGAGGGGGCTGGGCAGCCAGATTAGCTGATTGTGTGCACAAAATCTCCAAATTCTAGCGTTCTCAACTAGATTCTCTCTTTGCGTCTCATCTTTTCCTTCATCATTGACCTAATAAAAGAAAAAAGTGAACAATAGAGTGCGAATTCCATTATTCATTAACCTTCAGTGCCTTCTCATTGTCCACCCAATGAAGCACGCGTAGGAAAATTTATGGAACTATTAATCTGTATTTCGTCCAGTCAGTGCTTCCCTCCCCTACCCAAGTAAGTAGGGGGAGGTGTGGCAGAAGCTTGCGGCAGGCTTCCCGCTGCCCCTGCCTGGGGGCTGGTCTTTGACAGGTGGAAGAAGGAGAAGCACAAGTAGCTAAGGATAGGAGGAGATTGCCCTGCCCTAGGAAGGCAAGGAGGTTTCCACAAACGTCAGGATCCCCATCCTAGATCTGGCATTGCCAAGCGGAGACGACAAGACCTCTGAGTGGCCCGACTGTGTGGTCAATGGAAGGAGGATATACCTTTGCCAACAGAGCTCCCACTGGGCAAAGATACCTGCGGGCCCAAAGTAACAGAGAAACAAAGTCACTGCCATTCAAGAGTCTCTGCAGCTTTGATAGTGAGCTCACGAGGATGAGCTGTTCTCACGTTCGTCGAGGGATCCGTGAGGCCTGTGACACACTGAGGAAGTGAGACAGCCCCACACCACAGCGGAGTGCACCACAAGCCGGGCAGGCAGAGGAGGAGAGGCATATCTCACATAACCTTCCCGGAGTCCAGGGCAGTACAGGGCCTCGACAGCAGTTAACGCAACCGGGTGCCCCAGACACTTGGACTTTCTCCTCCCGCATGAATCCTACACATTTCTGCCTCTACTTTTGCTTGGAATTTTCTATTCTGTTGCAAAAAAGTATTCATTCTTTCAGCAGTCTTTCAGAATGTCTTTTCTCTTCTCGAATGTCTTTCCCTCATAAAACCTGTCCTGTATCTTTTGATCGCCTTTTGTACCTGTAGTCATTTATTTATTTCAGCGACTATTTCGTGAGAATCTACTGTGTCATGGATCCTAGGACAGGAAATAGGCAGACCATGAAACCTACCTGCTATGATTTAAGTAGGAAGTATCCCCGAAAGACATATGTATTGAGGGGTTGATCCTTAATGCAGAAGCCTTCAGAGATGAGGCCTAGGGAAGCAACCGGAGCATGAGGGCACTAACCTCATCAAAGGCTGACCCACTAATGAGTGCAGGGGTGAGTTATTAGGGGGTAGCACCCAACTAGCACAAGTATGGGGCAGGATCATGCATGTGAAGGGTTTATCTTTTTCTTTTTTTTGTTTTGGGTTTTTGTTTTGTTTTGATTTTGTTTTTTGAGACAGGATCTCACTCACTCACTATGTAGTTGAGACTGACCTGGAACTCACTATGTAGCCCACGTTGGTCTAGAACTCACAGCGATCCTCCTGCCTCAGCCTCCCAAGTGCATCTTGAACCCTGGCCTCTTCATCTCCAACTCTTTGTCTCTCACTTTGCCTCCTGTCCACCATGAACTGCGCAGCTTTCATCTGCCACACTTTTCTACCACGACCTTCTGCCTTACCAGGTCCAGAAACAATGAGACCATCGTCTGACCGTGGATTGAAACCTCTGACATTGTGAGACAAAGTAAACCTTTCCTTCTGTAGGTTGATTTTATCAGGTGTTCTGCTGCAGTGACAGAATGCTAACTAACAAACTGTCCTTGGGGTTCTAGAAGTCTGTGTGTTATATTCAAAGCTCATTGCTTGGTAAACAGTAAATTCTCAGTGAGTATTTATCCATATTAATTGTTTGTATTATAAAGCACCATTCAGCTGCTGGTAGGAAATTTAAGCAAAATAGAGAAGATAATTATGTAGGGAGAGAATTTTTGGATGTTACGGAATATAACTATTATACTTACAAGCATGATATAATAACAGGAAAAGTTTAAAGTGTGGTTTAATCATTTCCATTTTTAAAACAGGTAGCATAGTCTTCATTTTCAAAGCAACTATGCAAATAAAAATATTGCAATGTACTGAAAAATCCATGAAAAATGCTGAGCAGAAGAAACTGTTGTCCAAAGGCTACCTTTGTGTTTCAGGGCTTACTTCTCCAGCCTTTCGTTCTTTTCTGCTGTCACTGCTGCTGTGGATTTTGCTCTTATGTGTAATGAGACTCCATCACAAATATTTTGGATAAATCAAGAAATATTCACTGGAGACCGGGTGCAGGCCACAGTGAAGACACCCACGCTGCTCAGACTGTGTTTGGGGTCTCTCTTCTTCTCACTCCCCCATTCTGCAGGCTCTGCTCGTGTTCGAGGAAAGGTGTCATGATTTCCATTTCCAAGTAGTTACACATTTAATATCACGGTGCTAGTGAAAAATGGAGCTAGAATCAAGAGACCTCGGTGAATTTGGTCATTTATTCATTCACCAAATATTTTTGAGCATTTGCAACATGTCAGGCATGCCTGGAAAACAGTGGAGAAAAAGAAGCTTGCATTTCTGTGAAGCTGTATAATCCACAAGCACCAGGTTACTAAGTAGAGTGTAGATGGGTTCTGTGAAAGAAATGCACGGAATGGTGGAATATTCACTGTAGAGGGGTAGTGGGAGTGCAGCTGTCAGAGAAGACTTTGTGATATTTGAGCAGATAACTGGGAAGGTGACAGGTTCCAAGGAGGAGCTGTTCTGACATCTCACCTTTAAGATGCTGAAGCCCAGAAAACTGGCCAGTGTGGCAGGAATGGGGAGCAGGAAGAGAAACCTTCTCATCAGGCCAAGAGAAATGGATTCATCCACGGAGGGCCTAGGAGCCATGCTGCGGACTTTACATTTTTATCTAAGTTTACAGTGTGCTTGATACGCTTTAGGCGGAGGTATGCAACGATTCCATCTTTTAAACGTCAACATTGACCACTGGGTGGAGAGTGGAATTAGAAATAGCAATGAGGAGGCTCGTACACATGTTCAGGAGACACAGCTGGAAGTGTGATTCCTGGAGCTGGAGCTTTCTAGGGCTCCCAGATGTGAGTCATGTGACAGCCCTGGGCCTTGGCCGCAGTGCTCGGTGGCTGGATGGTGTTGCTCTTTCCTGGCAGCGAAAGCATCCCCGGTCTGGCTCACCCAGTCCTGGGCAATGTCGTCTCTTCCATGTTGAAATGAAGGTGTTGAAAGAAACAGAATAGGCAGCCCTGGGTCCTTCTCCAGCACTAAAATACCACAGTTCTGTGGAGTTTTAGAACATGAATATTTTTTGGGGGGGGTGGATGGTGTCGGTGGTGGTGGTGGTGGTGGTGGTGGAGGAGGAGTTTTTTCCTTCCGAC